GCAGTATTGTAAGAGTTAGAGCAAGACCTATGTAGGTCATGAGGTGCAATGGGAGCATCAGATTCATGGAATTTCGACTAATTTGATCAGAGAATGTTATTGTGGTCATGTGAGTAAAGTGGTGCAAGGTGTGAATTCAGTTAAGGTATGCAGTTATGTTTTGGTGCTGCGGGTAGTTATTGATACGGTGTTCGTATGATGGAAACAGGCCTGGCAGAGAATTCCGGATGTTGGAATTGGGCTCTAAGGCTTATTTGCTTAAGTGAAAAAGGATATCTTTCAGACAGATTGAGATAGGGTGCCCAGTTGAGTTGTGGTGGCACGGGTAAGTGCTCGAGGTATTAAACAGTGATTTTGGACAACTCCAGCACGGTTCTTAACACGTTCGAGGACGAACGTATGTTTAAGTGGGCGAGGATGTAACGGCCCGACCGGTCGTTTTGAGCTCTAGCGTGTCGTTCAGCAGTTTGAGGCCATGAGCAGCTTCATTTCAGGTATTACGACTTGCACGCGTGCTCGGAATTGAATTTCGGGAGGTTCGGAGTTGATTCGGAAAGAGAATTCTCATTTTGGAAGCTTTAAGTTGAAAGAATTAACTAGGATTTGATTTTTGAGTAAACAACCTCAGAATTGGGATTCGAAGGCTCCAGCAGGTTCGTATGATGATTTCGGACTTGGGCGTATGCCCGGTTCGGGTTTTGGATGACCTGGGAGCGTTTTGGCGCCTATTGTGGAAGTTAGCATTTTGGAAGAAATCTCAAAAGTTTGGGTTTAAGTGCATTTCAGTGTTATCGACGTCCGTTTGGGATTCCGAGGGAGTAGCTCCGTATGGTGATTCTGGAGTTGGGAGCGCGATCGGAAGTGAATTCGAAGGTCCGTGGGTCATTTTGGAGTCATTTGGATAAAGATAGAAATTTGAAGGTTTTTGAGAGTTTGATCGGAAGTGGACTTTTTGATATCGGGGTCGGAATCCGATTCCGAAAGTTGGAGTAGGTCCGTAATGTCGAATATGACTTGCGTGTAAAATTTGAAGTCAATCGGACGTGATTTGATAGGTTTAAACATCGAAAGTAGAAGTTTGAAATTCTAAAGTTCAAAAAGCTTGGATTGGAGGTCGATTCGTGGTTTTAGAGTTGTTTGATATGATTTGAGGCCTCGAGCAACTCCGTAATGTGTTTTGGGACTGGTTGGTATGATTGGTTGGGGTCCCGGGGGCCTCGGGTGGATTCCGGGTGGTTAACAGATCGATTTCGGAGTTTGGAGAGGAGCTGAAGTTGCTGGTTGCTGGTGTAACCGCACCTGCGAGACTAGGGCCGCAGGTGCGGAGCCGCAGAAGCGGCCCTGTGGTCGCAGTTGCGGTTGGCAGGGGAGAGCTGGGACCGCAGATGCGGTCATCTCACTGCAGAAGCGAGACCGCACCTGCGGGTGTTGAGGCGCAGAAGCAGAAAAGGCAGCCTGGAGAGAGGACCGAAGGAGCGGTAGAGGGGCCGCACCTGCGGAACCACAGAAGCGGTCGTGTGACCGTAGGTGTGGAAGTGCTGGAGGCAGTAAGTTCTTTTAAAATCGGGGGTTGGTCATTTTTTCCCCATTTTTCATTGGGTGTGGACGATTTTGGAGAGCTTCAAGTGGGGTTTTTCATCGTCAACGACAAGGTAAGCCAATCCCACCTATCTTGAGTTAAATATATCGATTATGCATGGATTTTAGCATGTAAATTGGTAGAAGTTTAGGGGTTTGAGGAAAACCTAGGAAATTGATATTCTTGGAATTTGACCACGATTTATGGTATGAAATTGAGAGTAAATTATATATTTGAGTTCGAGGGGTTATGGGTAAGCTTAATCTTCGAAAATTTTCGGAATTCGGGCACGTGGGCCCGAGGGCGATTTTGTCAACTTTTCGATCGGGGTTAGGAATTGTTATAAATTTGATTGTAATGAGTAATTGAGCATATATAATCAACAGATTGGCACGGCATCACCCTTCGTGCTTTTACTCCCATCCTCACGTAATAATATAAAAGCAAGTGCATGGCATCACCCTTCGTGCTTTTACTCTCTTCCTTACATAATAATATAAAAGCAAGTGTACGTCATCACCCTTCGTGCTTTATCCTCACGTTCACTCAAGCAATAATATCAATATGCAAATAAGGTACGGCAGCACCCTTCGTGCTTTTCACTCTTCCTCACCAAGCAATCAACACAATACCAAGAAAGGTGGGAAGCAAATTCTACTTCAACAATAGTATTTGAACACAACTCATTATATGAGAATCCTTCTACAATTAGTGCTAACAACCAATCAATAATTACATGATTTCAACACCCAATAGCACAACAATAAAAGAATTAACAATCTATCTAAAGCATGACATAATATACAAGATAACATGGTACAAGTAAGGCTAATTAACTTATCCTATAGCCAACGCATATACACTCGTCAACTTGTATATACACCCGTCACCACATAATTCACATAGCAAATAAACTCGATTCTACCTTATTTCTACCAAATCAAGGTTAACCAAGATATTTACCTATTTTCGGGACACTATCAACAATCCAACACGACTTTTCTTCTAGAACAAGCCTTTAGACCAACCGAATCTAGACAAATATCGTTTAAACAATTCAAAATAAGCTTTAGAAACTACAAACGAATGAAAAAGGTTCAATCTTTAACATAATTGAAAAATTCAACAAAAAATCAACACGGGCCTACGTGGTCAAAATTCGAGATTAAGACCAAATCCTGATTATGCATTTACCCCCAGTCCGGATATGTGATTTGTTTCAAAATTCGAAATCTAAATCTCAATTTCATAAAGTTCCTAAATTCTACCCAAGACCCCCAATTTCTACTTTGAAACTCGTAGATTTGATGATGACATTTATGAAAAAGTAATGAAATTGATAAAACAAGTTAAAGTTACTAACTGATGAATTTGGGAAGAAATTGCTCTTCAAAAATCGCCTCTATGGAGTCTAGGATTCAAAAATGGTGTAAAATAAGCTAAGTCCCGAAATCCTCACAATTTACCCATCTGCAGATATCACAATTGCGAACTCTTGTACGCAAAAGAGAATAGCGTCTGAACCTTCAGTAGTCACATTTGCGACATATACCTCGAATTTGCGAAAAACTCACCAATCGCAAAAGCGATAATGCCTTCGCATTTGCGAAGGCTGCCCAGCCCAGTCCCCAGTCGCAATTATGATAGTGCCATCACAAAAGCGATGCCCTCCAGCACGCAAATACGACAGCCTTTTTGCAAAAGCGAAGATCACAGTCCCTTTCCTAGTCATCACATTTGCGAGCCTGGCTTCGCAAAAGTGGGGCTCACAATTGCGAACAGGTCATTGCGATTGCGAGACCTGCAGACCACGAAAACCAACCGAAGCATCACCTATTCAAAACTAACCAAAACGCATATGAAACTCACCTGAGCCCCTCAAGGCTCATATTCGAACATCCACACAAGTGTAATAACATCATACAAACTCGCTCGATATCTCAAATTCTTAAAATAACATCAAACATCAAGAATCGATCATCAAAACTCAAGATTTTCAAGTTTAAAAATCAATTTTCCAAATTTACATAATGCATCGAACCGTAGTCGGGTCTTTTTTCTCGGTTTGACTCTAATTATTGATTTGATGCGATTTGTCGGTTTCCATTGTATACCCCTAATCAAGACCATGACTTCTTGCATTTGTTTCATTCTCTTGTTAGTCATGGCTGAAATTTCTATATCTAAATCTATTAGTCCACATCAAGATATCATCACTATTTTGACTAAGGAGGTCCTCCCTACTCTGTTTCAAAGTCCAAAATAAGTTGACGTTTTGTCTTTCTTATGCATACCAGTTTCAATTACAGATGAGAACCAAGAGTAGAGGTTTATTGAGATTTTATTTTTGTGAGGGAGAGTTTAATAAGCTTATAACATTCTCACCAATAGACTAATTCTTTCCGTTTATAAGATAGACAAAATGTAACATGGACATGAAAAATTTAGGTAGGAATATGAGGAATAGGAACAAAATAAGATTATTTCACCTCTTATAGAAGGAAACAGTGTTTCTTCTATTGAAATTTCTCGCTTTCAGTAAGTTAGCTTTCACGAATACCTAAAGTGTTGCTCGTTGTAGTTCTTAGAGAAACTTTAATCTGTTCTGCAACCATTAACTATAGTGCACTGATCACCTCACTTGGAATTTTTATTTATTCCTATTTTCCTCCTTTAATTTCCTTTCTCCCCATCCTACCAAAAAAGAGGCAATTTACACCTCATGGAATTATAAAGCTTTACGATATGCCAATTGTTGTAACTCCAACATGCTGAAGCTTCTGAATTATATCTAAAGTGATAAACTACATCTGAGATAGGCAAGATGAGAGGAAAAAAATAAAAGTAACGACGTGATCACACCAAATATGTCATTATATAAGGTGACATTTTTCATCATTACATAACGATGGATGTAACGATACGATACAATAATATTTAAGTAACAATCATTTAAAGTAACAATATGTAACAATCATCCAAATAAGTTGTTAATCCTTGCAATCCATAATTTAAAGATAATCAACAGTTCTTAAACATAAGTAATTGCATGTTTGGTTAATCTTCTGGGAAGTCAAAAGCATTTTTCTGAAAATAACATTTTTTTAAGTTTAAAGTGTTTGGCCAAGAATGAAATTTATTTTTGAGCACCAAGAGAAAGCACTTTTTCTGTTGTTGCAGAGAAGCTATAAATATCTGCTTCTAGCAGAAAATTAATTTTTTTCAAGAGACATTTCGAAACCCCAAAAAAATGAACTGGCTATTTTTCAAATATTTTGCAAATGCTGGCTATATCATTAAGTGGTAAAGGTGGCTACCTGGTATCATTTTTACTATTTTCCTCAAGGCCCAAAAGCCCAGTAAGAAATTCCTAGTTGTGCTTCATGTTTGGCCCATACCCTTCAGCTTAGTATAAAAATGATTGAAACCCCAAACCCCTCTGTCGTTCTCTAGGGTTAGGGTTTTACCAAACGCTATCGCGCACACAACTTCTCTGTCGCCATGAGAGCTAAGGTACGATTTCTTCGCAAAATTAATGTTCAATCACCCGTAGTTGCTTCTGTTTTTGTCACATAAAGCTTAACTATATTGTGGGGTTATTTATTATAGTGGAAGAAGAAGAGAATGAGGAGGTTGAAGAGGAAGCGCCGAAAGATGAGGCAGCGATCCAAGTAGTCCTCTCAAATGCTGCTGTTCTACGGTTTTGAACCTCTTTTTTGTCGTTAAATTTATCAGTTATTGGTGAAAACTTCAGCTTGTTATTCGCTTTTTCTTGATATATTTGGAAGTTTTGATTGGAAATTATTTTGATGGTTTTGACAATTGAAATGCTTCTCCATTTTCATTAGTATGGTAAATCTTTATGATTTATATATTAAAATATTATGTGTGTTTTGGAATAGTTAATTTTTTTACATAACTTGTATATCCAATATGATGTTCTGTAATTAGAATTAATGTTGGGTTCTGCAGTTCTTGAAGCAGAAAATTCATATTGATGATAGATTGGTGGATTAAATTAGTTATTGATGTTGGGGGAGTGAGTGGAGACTTAGAGAATCCATGATTTGCAATAAAATGCAAATTGTTTAGTATTGGAGTGAAACGGACATGAATAGACCGGAATACTATAGAGGATTTCCATATAGCTTACCTCAATTTGGGATTGTGTGGTTAATTGATTATTTTATTTTCTATCTTTTGAAGATAGGAATTTACTTGAGAATAAAATAGCACTAGCTTTGATTTCAAAACTATGTGCTCACTTAACTACCCAGTTGATACGGACACTGTAAGTTGCTTTTCTTTGGGCATTATACATGTTTTTAGACATTGTTTTTAGATCTCATAGAACCTCTGCAACACTAGAGATGGGATTTACCTTTTGCTTTGTGCTCTTTTTGAGACTTGAGTATTGTCATTTGGGGATTGGAATTCACTTTACTACCTTTGGCTTGATTAATTTGATCTGCCGTTTGTTACGGCAAGTCTTTTATCAAGTAGTAAGGTGGGATGAAAGAAGGAACCAAAGACGAAGGTCATATTAGATTATGCCAAGCGGTGTTTGAGATTTGCCAAATCGGACATTTATCATTTACTGTACTGGAAAATGTTTACAGGCTTATACTCCTTGTTCGTGAGCGGAAACAACCTATGTACCTTCAAGGTGGGGGGGGGGGGGGGTTAAGGCCCGTACACACTATCCTCTCCATATCTCACTTGTGGGATTACACTGGGTTTGTTGTTGTTACTGCGTGTACACCTTGTGCAACTGTTTTTGATTGATTCCTTTCCTGCTGATGTCGGCTTTTATGTTTTCGTTAACCTTATATTATCACAATATACATACGTGTGTATGTTCATGTAGAGGCCAATTGATGAAAGTTTTTCCAACTAAGAACACTTGGAGTCTGATTTGGGTATCAGAATCAAAGCAATTGGCTAAGAGCCGTTTCCCATTCGCTTCAATATTTAAAAAAAAAAAGAATTGGAAAGTTAGTTCCATGAACATTTTTAGCACGTTTTGATCACAATAACTCAAATCATGTCTTACATGGAAGAAAGTAAAAAAATGATGCATTATGTATGGTATGCATAATTGGTTATTTGTGTGAAGGCCTAATAAAACAATTTTTGGATGAAAATATCAATAGAGTTAGCGATTTAACGAAATGTTCAATTCATCTTATTGAAACGCCGTTCTTTTCTTTTACTTCTGTCTTCTTTTAGCTGAAAAAACAAAAAGGGAGAGCTGAAAATCCTATTCCTTCATACCCTCTTCTTCCCTTCCAAAATCTGAATAAATTGGAAAATATCGCAAAAGAGGTGCAATGGCTACTGTACTTGGTACAATTTCCATAATAAGGTTCATATATAAGAATCCACTTTGCCCTATGTTTTGTTTTTTTTTAATCCTAGTAATGCAATTTTTATTGGACGTGTAGTAAAAAGGGTCAAATATATCCCTCTACTATCATTTATACCCTTAGTTTAATAGACATGCCACGTGGAGCCTTCTAAGTGAAAGACTCAACCCACAACTTAAAAAATCTATACCCATTTGGATAAATCGTGACTCGTTCGACCCCTTTCTTTCTAATGATAAGTAGATCCAAAAAGTTCAGTCCTAATCTCCACCATCTTTTCCACTGTGTGCCGCAGCCGGAGAACTTCAAATCAGCTGATCTTATACCCATCTTCTCCTCTCGTCTTTCTCTATACAAATCCGAAGCCCAAATCCCTTGATTCTTTCTCCATCTTCAGGTATTTGAAGAAAATGGAATAGCTTATTCCGGCGACCACCTTCTAGAATCACTCCAACATCTAAAGACGATGCCACCTGAAAGTTCGATTTGTATTATTTTGGCATCTGGTACCACGATGAAAAAAAAATCCGGGCAACATGAAAATGCAAAACTGGGTGTTGGTAAAATGAGAGTTTCTTGAGTACTTATACTATGGCTTATTTTTACTTACTTTTACTTTATTGATTTAGGAACCTAAGAGAATCAATTGTTGATTTACTTTTGGACATTGATGAATGAATTCTTACTTTGTTGCTAGAACGTATTCATAGCGTGCGATTATTGTGAGCACAAAATTGGAATCGTTATGGCATTAGAGCAGGTGATACAAACTATTTACATTACAGTTTGATTGTTGTTTCACCGCGATAGTTTGTGTTGTTGTATAGGAGATTGTGTTTAACAGGGAGAAGAGGCTTTTACACAAATTGAAAAATATGATCAGTAGAAAAATTAGATGAACTGTGGAAGTAGTTCGGCGGCAATGACATCCAATGGTTGAATCTGTTTTGGTGAAAGCAAATTATGGTGAAAGCAAGTGGAATTGGATAGTGAAATTATTAAAAAATATGAGTGGAATTCCTCTATAGAGATAAGAAGGAAGAACATAGGCAGAGGCTGGTTTCCAACTTTGCTTGGGTCATGGGTTTTAATGGGGTAACGGTTTTTTAAGTTGTGGGTTAGGTCTTTCACTTAGAAGCCTCCACGTGGCAAATTCGTTAAACTAAGGGTATATTTAGAACTTTGCTTAACGGTAGGGGCAAATTTAACCCAATAGTATAACGGAGGATACATTTAAACAATAAATAATACTAGAGGGATATATTTGGCCCTTTTTCCCTTTTTTCTTATTATATATACTTTAGATTAGAGGTGCATGCTTATTAACATCGTTTTGTGATGTGTTGCTACAAAATTATCATGTCAGTCCTCTGTTTAAAAAGGTAGAATTGGGACTCGTCCGCGGCTCGCCCTGGGATGGAGCAATCGTAAAACGCCCCTGAGCTTATGTGTGGGGCTTAGTTCTGTGAGACTTACGCCTCTGTGAGCATGTGATTTTTGCCCTACTAAAAATACTCCTACAAAATTAAAGAAATAGATTTTTTCCAAATTGCGGTCAATTTTATAGGATTTTTGTAGGATTTTTATTAATTGTTTGCATTTTTTGTACACGTTTAATTTTGGTTAAAATCATGAAAAATGCCCCGAAAATGTCAAAAGTTTCATGCATTGCATATTAGGTTTTGTGTTCACATTTTAGGATTAATTAGTTAATTAATTTCTTTATTAAAATACAAAATAAAAAATAATATTGTCCATTTTACATTTTTGGCTCTTAATATTAGATTAGTAATTTTCTCTTCATCAATTTAGGATTAATTAATTTTGTAAAAATTATAAATAGATACTTAGTTTGATTTTACAAGATTAGATTTTAATTTAGAATTTTAATAATTAAAGAAAAGAAAAAAAAAAGAAAGAAAACAAAAGCAAGGGCCGGAAATTAATTGGGCCACCCCAAAATTGAAATCCAGTGGCCCAATCGCCCTTTTACCTCGGTCAAGCCCCAAGCCAAAATACCAAATCCACCCGGTCCAATCCACCTACCCCAAAACGACCTCGTTTAGCCCCAAGCAATCCCAGCCATTGATCCATACGAATCCAACGGCTCGGAATTGGTCACTTAATCCCCTTAAAACTGTCCGACCCCCCCCACCCAAACCCTAAAGACGGTCTCATTTCCCTCCTCATCTCTCTCACAAAACAAACCCTAGCCGCCCTCATATACTTCTCTGCCTCCGCCGTGGTCCGTCGACCAGAAATCGCCTCACGGCGGCGGACCACCTCCAAATTTCACCAAATTAACACCCCATGACTGTCTTTACATCCTCTTTCCAAATATCACCACAGTTCCCTTCGAGTCAGTCCCCAACCCCTCGAATCTTAGATCTGAGACCCCAGAAACCCTAACTTTTCCTTTTCGATTCTTGGTCAGTGTTGGGTCATATGAACCCAAGATGTCCATTAGTCGACTGTTCTTCTTAAGAACAATCGATTAATGGTTGTATAAGTTCATATTTTCCCCTTTAAAACCGGTCAAGTTCATGTCTGGCTATTTCAACACGAACTTGAGGTATTTCCCTTTTCCTTTTCCTGTTATTTTTATCTTTATCTCCTTTCCTCTCTCATGATTCATTCTCTTTCTTAAACCCGCATGAGTTAGTTAAAAGTTCTTTACTGCTTTTCTTTTGGACTTTGCATGTTTGTTTCATATTTTAGATCAATTAAAGCATGCTGAATGCCCTAAGTGTATGAAGTTTAATTTCAATTGCCTAAGGTTAGGATAATTAGGTTTAATTTTTTTAGGGTTTTGGTAAAAATTTGACTATTCTGTTTTTCTTTTGTGTTTTGTTTCCCTCTTATATCTGTATGCTTGATATTCATTGTTTAGTTTGAAATTGATTAGAATAGTCTTAGGAGTTCAATTTATTTGGCCAATCTCTGACTAGTCATTAGAAAACCTTAGCCTTAGTTAATCTGTTTAATTGCAAACTAATTAGGTCAATTTCTAGGTCTCTTTGCATTAGCATTCCGTTTAGTTACTGTTTAGCTACAAATTTAAAATTCAGTGTTTATTTAAGATTAATTAGATGAACTTGTCAATTAGGTTTAAATGGTTAGAATTAAAGCCTAGATACCTTAGACTTTAGGATAATCTCATAAATGAAGGGTAAATGCCCCAAGGTTCCAAGTTGATACAAATTGAAGCAAACTTAGAAACCCTAATCACTTAGCTGGATCTAGAAGGTCCTAAATGGATTTTTGGAATCAAAATAGGATCAGAATATAGGTTGAAACTGAAATATCTAGTAAATGAAAGGGTAAAACTGGTTTTACATAAGGTAAAAGTCAGAAGGTTCTAGCATTTTGTACAGCTGTCCCCATTTCCAGCATGAAAAAGGCTGGAATTGGGCTGAAAAAGGGACAGACAGCTGTCCAAATATGCTGTACTATTTGACACTAGGGAACTTAGGGTAGAATATGCTATTTTGATGCCATTATAGCATACCCTATAAAAGGAAAGTT